ATGATGACCTGTTCTAAAAACTCGTCTGATCTTCACTTTGTACATCAGATGTGTTAAGTCACGCCTTTCTACCATGATGAAATTCTAATGTTTACCAGGAACCCCTCGACAGGTGAGAGATCGTCTAAGAACTTTTAACCGATTCAGTGTCAATGAAATGTATCTCATTATATAGGAACGTTACTCACTCATCTTCCAATAAATGTTGCACTGATCACCAAGGAATGGGGTGATAGACAAGACAATGAGCTCCAGTCCATGGACTTAACCCCGTTGGATAACTCAAGTGAACTACCCTAACATGAACCAACCCTTCGTTTTTTTTTGTTTTTTTTCGTTAGTCACAACAATTAAGCAACACGAAATTTAGGCGATTATTTTAAACATTCAAAATCCTCTCTTCGAAATATAGCGTGATACAAGTCATGTTACATTCTTCAATATTGGTTACGAAGTAAGGAGAGAAATCAAAAATATTAAATATCCTTCAGAATATAAATTGACGCAGATACAAAATATATTTTCCACGTACATCAGTTGGCATGGCTATGTTTGGACGGAGATTATTTTTATAGGTTTTGCACACACATTTTAAGCCGTATTGTAAACATATGGTCTAGAAGAGCATAAAGAAGCACCTTTTTTCTCTTCGCTTTTTCTGATTTTCCTATACTAAATGAATTTAAGATTCTATCATGGTGATTTATTTAGAGAATGACTGCTTATCACTGGTTCTTAAGCATTAATGTAAGAGCTAAAAATAATAGACTCTTAATCCATTTTACAAAATTCAAACTTTTGATTGGGTTCTTCAAAGTTGACCTCAAAAGCATTTAAATGTAAATTGGCCAATTTGTCTCATTTGGATTTTTAATTTAGCTAAGTTAGACATTGAGAAAGCTAAGTTTCAGTTGTGCTCTGCAGGCATCAAGCAGTCTTCCCTGGAATGTTTAAATTAAAAGGCAGAAATTGTTATTTCTCTTGCTTTTGGAATACCTCAACAAAGTATCTTTTGCAACAAGTTTCATCACAATCAGTTATCCCAAAGCATGTTTCAGTGTCTTTTGGAACACTTTGTTGTAGACAAAGAAACTTAAGAATGTTTGCTATTATAAACTGTGTGGTGTAGAAAATGAATTTGAAAAGAAACTAAATGAACTTTAATTTGTAAAACTTCTTTTAAAATGAAGAATTTGTGATAAATTAGAACAAGTAACAGAATGTCTCTGTCACTGAGTGCCTTTTAAACTATAACAGAAGCACTGTGCTTGAAGATTGTAGTCACCTTTGCTTTTCTTTGCAAGAGAACTTCTGAATTGGTGATGATTTATTTCGTGTGAACCAATTGAAACTGGAAAAAAGAAGAGCATCAGTATCTTTCTTTTAAGAGACATTAATTTGGTTAAGGTGATTCCTCTGAAAAACAATTTATTGAACAGTTTTCCTTAAACTTTCCTTAAATGTTCCTTGCAAATGTCTGTTTGGAAAAATACACGGTTTATTTCGACAGGTGTGTTATGTTTGATAACGTATGATGATGACCTGTTCTAAAAAACTTGTCTCACCTTCACTTTGTACATCGGATGTGTGAGGTAACGTCTTTCTACCAAGATGAAATTCTAATGTTTACCAAGAACCCCTCGACAGGTGAGAGATCTTCAAAGAACTTTCAACCGATTCAGTGTCTATGAAATGTATCTTATTACATAGGAGCATTACTTTTGAAAGCACCGATCACCGAGAAATGGGGTGATGGACAGAATAATGTCCTTCAGTCCATGGACTAAACCCCATTGGACAACTCAAATGGACTACCCTAGCAATTTCACCAACCCTTCGATGTTTTTTCATTCCGTTTTCGTCAGTCACAACGAACACCACGAAAGTTAGGCAATTATTTTAGAAATTCAAAATCCTTCCTTCGAAATATAGCGTGGTCCAATTGAAGTTATTTTCTTAAATATCAGTCACGAAGTAAGGCAAGAAATCGATAATATTAAATGTCCTCTAGTATTAATTTAGATTGACGCTGATAC